GATAGTTCTATTTTTGTTTTTTTTTGTTTTTTTGTTTTTTTTTTTTGAGAAATCTCCATACTGCTTTCCATAGTGGTTGTACTAATTTACGTCCCCACCAACAGTGTGAGTTCCCATTTCTCCACATCTTCTCCAGCATCTGTGATTTTTTTTTAATAATAACCATTCTAACTGGAGTAAGATGATACTTTACTGCGGTTTTGATATGCATTTGATGATTAGTGACGATGAATTTTTTTCATAGACCTGTTGGCCATTTGTACCTCTTCTTTTGAGAGATATCTATTCATGTCCTCTGCATATTTTTAATGGGATTGTTTGTTTTTATAGTGTTGAGTTGTTTGGGTTTCTTCTATATTGTGGCTATTAGTCCTTTGTCAGATGAATAGTTTGCAAATATTTTCTTCCATTCAATGGTTTGTTTCTTTACTCTGTTGATTGTTTCTGTATTGTACAGAAGTTATTAGTTTAATATACCCTGGTTGTCTATTTTTGTTTTAGTTATCAGTGCTTTTGAAGTCTTATCCAGAAAATCTTTGCCTAGACCAATGTCCTGAAGTGTTTTCCCTATGTTTTCTTCTAGTAGTTTTATAGTTTAAGGTCTAACATTTAGGTCTTTAATCCATCTTGAGTTGATTTTTGTATGTGGTGAGAAATATTGTTCAGCTTTATTCTTCTGCATATGGATAGCCAATTTATCCAGCACGATTTATTGAAGAAGTTGTTCTTTCAACGTAGTTCTTGGTGCCTCTATTGAAAATCAATTGCCAGTAAATATGTAGATTCATTTCTGGGTTCTCTATTCTATTCCATTGGTCTCTGTGTCTATTTTTATACCACGACCAAGTTGTTTTGATTATTATAGCCTTGTACTATAATTTGAAATCAGATATTGTGCTGTTTCCAGCTTATGCTGTATTAATTACTATAGCCTTATAATCTGAGGTCAGATACTGTGTTATTTCTAGCTTTGTTCTTTACGCTCAGGATTTCTTTGGCTATATGGGCTCTTTATTGGTTCCATATGAATTTTAGGATTGTTTTTTCTATTTTTGTGAAAAATGATATCAGTATTTTTATAGAAATTGAATCTATAGATTGTCATAGACAATATGATCATTTTAATGATATGAATTTTTCCAATTCATGAACATGGGATGTCGTTCCATTTGTTTGTGTCCTCTTCAATTTCTGTCATCAATGTTTTGTAATTTTCCTTGTAGGGTCTTTCACTGCCTTGGTTAAATTTATTCCTAGGTATATATTTTATCATACTAATTGTATATTAGATTGCTTTATTTATTTATCTATTCATTCATTCATTCATCCATTGACTCACTATTTTGCACAGGCTAGTCTCAAACTCCTGGGCTCAAGCAATCCTCTGCCTCAGCCTCCTAAACCTGTAAACTACAGGTTTGAGCCACTGCACCTGGCCTTGATTTATTTTTCAGCAATTTCAGTATTAGTGTATAGAAATGCTACTAATTTTTTCATGTTGATTTTGTATCCTGAAACTTTATTGAATTTTTTTATCAGCTTTAAGAGCTATTTGGTGGAGTTTTTAAATGTTTCTAATATAAGATTATGTCATTTGCAAAAAGGGACAATCTTACTATTTCAGTATGTTTTCTTTCTTTATCTGCCTGCTTTATTTGGCTAGGACTTTCAGTTCTCTCTAAATAACAATAGTTAAAGTGGGCAGCCTTGTCTTGTTCCAGTTTTTAGAGAAAAGGCTTTCAACTTTCCTCCATTTAATATGTTAGCTATGGGCTTATCATATATAGTCTTTATTATTTTGAGGTATGTTTTTTCTATGCCTAGTTTGTTGAGAGTTTTTATCATGATGGAATGTTGAATTTTATTAAATGCTTTTTCTGCCTCTATTGAGATCATCATGTGGTTTTTGTCCTTCATTCTGTTAGTGTGATGTATAACGTTTATTGATGTGTATATGTCAAACCATCCTTACATCCCTGGTATAAATCCCCTTAGATCATCGTGTATTATCTTTTCGATGTGCTATTGAATTCAGTTTGCTAGTATTTTGTTAAGGATTCTTGCATCTATATTCATCAAGGATATTAGCCTGTCGTTTTCTATTTGGGTTGCATTCTTATCTATTTTTGGCATCAGGGTAATGCTGGCCTCAAAGAATGCATCAGGGGGAATTCACTCCTCCTCAATTCTTTCAAGAATATTTTGAGAAAGATTGGTATTAGTTCTTCATACGTTTGGTAGCATTCAGCTGTGAATCCATCTGGTCTTGTGCTTTTGTTTGTTGGAATGATTTTTATTACTGATTCATTCTCTCTAGTTGTTATTGGTCTGTTCAGGTATTATATTTTTTACTGATTCAATCTTGTTAGATTGGGTGTTTCCAGTAATGTATTCATTTCCCCTGGGTTTTCCATTATATAGTTGTATATAATAGTCTCTGATAATATTTTATCTATCTGTGATATCAATTGTAATATCTCCATTTTCATTTGCTGATTTTATTTGGGTCTTCTCTCTCCTTTTATTGATTACTGTAGCTACTGGTTTATCAATTTTGCTTATCTTTTCGAAGAACCAACTTATCTTTTCATTGATCCTTTGTGTTTCTTTTTTTATTAAAGACTCTTTTTTGTTTAGTTTTGCTCTGTTTGTTATTTCTTGCCTTCTGCTTATTTTAGATTTGGTTTGTTCATGCTTTCTTGTTCGTTGAGGTGCATTGTAAAACTGTTTATTTGAAAATTTTCTACTTATTTGATGTGGGCATTTATTGCTATAAACTTTCCTATTAGTTCTGCTTTTGCTTTAACCCACAAGTGTTGGTATGTTGTGTTTCTATTTTCATTTGTTTCAAGAAATTTTTAAATCTCCATCTGAATTTTTTCATTAACCTATGGTAGTTCAGGAGCATGTTATTTAATTTCCATGTGGAAATTATATATGATTTCCAAAGATTCTCTTCATATTGATATCCATTTTTATTCCCCTGTGGTCTGAGGAGATGCTGAATATGATTTCAGTTTTTAAAAATTTGTTGATACTTGTTTTGTGGCCTAACATACAGTCTGTCCTAGTAAATGTTCCATGTGCTGATGGAAAAAAGGTGTCTATTCTATAGTGTTGAATACAAAGAGAGTCTTGATTGAAGATTTTTTTTGTTTGTCTTTTAAAAAAGCCATGTTGAAGATCTTGTTCTAGTGGCAGCAGTTTTGTCATTGATTTACAAATAGTTTTAGTTGCTATATTATATGGGCTACGCTGGAATTAATAGAATGTATGTTATTCTTTTTATTCTCAGACCTAGTCTAGGACCTGACATTCAACTAGCATTCAATAATTTTTATTGGCAGCGGTGACAGAAATAACAATTAGGATTATTAATATCTTTACATTGTTTTGAGAAGTGAAATTTTATTGAACTACTTTTCTACTCAGTTTTACCTTTCAAGTAATTATTTCAAAATTGTATTTTGACAAAAAATCATCCTTGGCATGCTGTATTCAGTTTTAGCAAAAATGTGGCTGGGTTCATTTGGTGAAAATCATCAACCCTGGATATCTGATCAAATTCTAATCTCCCACCATTCCTAGGACTTATCACTCTGGCCTGCCTTCAGCAAGAAGAATCCTGTCAAGTCAGTCTAGCTGGAATCCCCCTGACCCTGATGTTTCCTTTTAGTGTTTTTTTAATCTACTAATCACCGCCCTGCTCTTTGGCTATAAATCCCCACTTGTCTTTGTATTTGGAGTTGAACTTGCTTTTTCTCCCCCTACTGTAAGACCCCACTGCAGTGGTCCCTTGAATAAAGTCTATCTTACCCTCTTTAACAAGTGTCAGAAAAATTTTTCTTTAACAATTTCTAAAGGTTCAGATAGAATAGTAGAAACAAAATACATAATCTGTGCATTATATTATATGTACACTAATACATACATAATTGTATATATACGTATGTTGTCAATACAAGGAACTTCCTGCAATGAGACCTGGATACAGTGAATTATGGTTCTTTTCAACCACTGGCACAATAACAATAATATCCAACTAGATCAAATGTCTCTTGAGATTGATCTGAAGTTAATCTGGGTGTCTCATTGAATAAAAACTTAGTACCATTTCATTCTTGGCTTTACTTCTAAACATCCCATTGCATGAGTTTCCTGGGTATATCTAGTGGGTACACATTGTCATTTTGGTTTGATGGTTCTGTTTCAAATATGTTCTTATAGTAAACTCAAATTTCTTCTCCAGAAAGCTGTCTGCCTTCCTATATCCATTTTACAGAACTAACTAATTTTATTTAGTAACAATATCTCAGTAACTGGGAAGTCCAAGCAGGATATGATCTTGTTCAGAGTGATTATTGTAATAACTTATGGAAAAACACGGATTATTTTGGTTGAGACAAAATGGCCTAATCAACCCAACACAGACGGCAAGGCTACAGTTGGAATTCTGAGAGAAGTTTACTGATGACAAAATTGGAGCCTGATATATTCGACGTGTCTCACTCTAGAGTTATTCAAATTCGGAAGATTATAAGGTTCTACAAAGCCCCTGTTGCTTGGGGACTATGTGTCCTAAAGCTGTGTCTATTGGAAGCACTGAATTCCTGAGCATGGTTCTAAGGGGTGGATACATACCGAACAGTGGCCTCTGAGGCAGTTCTGCTTGTCATCCTGGTAGTATGTTTAAATTGATGACTGGTGATGATTTAGGAAGAGGTTCCAAACTTTACTATGATTAGGACCTGGGGGATTGAAGTTAATGATATCTAGATTACTGAGAAGATTGATCTTTGGGAAGGGCATAGACGATAGAGCACCAAACTTCACAGCAGCATTGGTAGAGAGTGACTGAGCTCATAAACACTTGTAGATATGTGTGGGCTGTTATTCCCACATCAAAGTAAAATACTTCTGTGTTTATCTATAAAAATTGTTTGACTATTGTTTGTTGTTTGTATCAAAAGCTATTTGTGTTATTCATCTTTGGCATACAGCTTGGAACAACACAGTCTGCCCATATGGTATTTTGGAAAAAGAGTGTCTATACAGGATTTGGATAAATGAAGATGCAGACACTACAAAAAGATAAAACGCAAAGTCATTCATTTTACAACAAAGAGCACGATCCTCATTTCAGTTCACAGAACATCCAACATGAAAATGATCTGATATTAAAATATCAGTGAAAATGCACTATCACTGAAATACATGCATTTTACTATGTGTTTTTTCTTGAAATTGCTAATTTAGTTATCATTCCAAGTTTAAGATTAAATCTATTGTGCTCCCATTAAACTACCACCTCTGGATAAAATTTATAGCATTGCCCATGTTAGTATTTAGAATTATTAAATGATGTGTTTGTTCTCCCATAAGGAATCAGCTGGAAGAGATTAAAGAAACTGACAGTTTTCTTTCTCTTCCTCAGATGGCTTTCTTGTTGTTTTTAATAAAAAATTTTATAATATTTGGACCCTTCCCCTGATTGTAACTACCATAGCAATCATAAAACTAATAGCTTTTTTTTTAAAGTATCACCCGTCATTTTAATTTAAATTGAATTTTAATTAATTTAAAATTAAATTTTAATTAAAATATTTCTCTTCTGTAAATACTCAAGGAGAAATTACAGAGTTATTTTGAGACCACAAGTTGGTTTGGAAATTTGTACTTTATAATAAAAAGCAATTCATTAAAAATATACTAATTCTTTATAAAATTAATTAATTATTAATTTATTTTTCCGAGACAGAGTCTCATTCTGTCACCCAGGCTGGAGTACAGTGGCACGATCTTCAACCTCCGCCTCCCAGGTTCAAGCAATTCTCCTACCTTACCCTCCCAAGTAGCTGGGATTACAGGCATGTGCCACCACGCCTGGCAAATTTTTGTATTTTTGGTAGAGACGGGGTTACACCATATTGGTCAGGCTGGTCTTGAATTCCTGACCTCATGCTATGCTTGCCTCGGCCTCCCAGAGTGGTGGAATTACAGGCGTGAGCCACTGCACCCTGCTCATTATTAATTATTATAACATTTTTTTCCCACCAACGCAACAATCAACACAAGATTTCCATGACAAAATGTTTGGGAGCTTTTTTCCCACATACCAAATAGTGGACGGCAGCCGTGGGTCCTCTAATCTAATTTAATTCAATTGTGGTTCTGTCATCCTGGAGACAGATCTCACAGGTTGAGGACTCATTCCCACAAGAATGCCTCCCCTTCAGATACCAGTACTGAGTCCAAGCCTCTGGGACTTCTGACTGAACAACTTCAAGCTGGAATTCCCATGGCCTCCCTCTTTGGACTTGATTGATTTGCTGGAGTGGCTCAGAGAATATTTACTTAGGTTTACTGGTTCATTTTAAAGGATATTATATTGCAAAGGATACAGGTGAAGAGTTGCATAGGTCAAGGCATATGAGAAGGGGTGCAGAGCTTCCATGCCCTCCACAGGTGCACCACCCTCCAGAAACCTCTACATGTTTAGCTGTATGGGAGCTCTCCTAACCCTGCCTCTTGGACCTTTTATGGAGACTCCTCTGGATGAGCATGATTGGCAACGCTGTAGAAATGTGAGTGAACAAAAGAGTGTGATCTAAACCCAGAAAGGCCAGTCTGTTCAGATTCTTCATGGCCTCTCTGTGCAGCATTCCTTCCTCCATGGTATGAAGAAAGACCCTTTCTGGAATGAGAGTCTTATGACCCATAGTAAGATTAGAGTCCTGCCTTGGGAAGGTGAAAAGGAGGGGAGGAGAAGAAGGTAAGAGAGGGAGAGATTCTATTTACTTTAACAAGGGGTATGGAATTACAAGCCAGGAGCTGTGGATGAAAACCAATATATGTAAATTATAATATCACACTTTCCCTTCTAATATGTCCTGTGCAGTTGGTCCAGTTTATATTCCTAAAGACACGTGCTAGTCATTACTCAGATACTTCCATGAACTCCACTGGAACAGTATTTACCTACTGTGGGGCTTGATCTGGTAACAGTTAAGGCAATTTCTTTAGTAAGTCATGCCAGAATCATTCATAAATGAAGCAAGGTAGAATAAAATTAAATACAAATTATCAAAGAGCATTTCAGATAGTAAGGGTAAATGCGTATGTGTTTTTTTGAAATATGCTTGCTTTAGTTATGTTTGTGTGTGTGTGTGTGTGTGTGTGTGTGTGTGATTAAAGGTGGATGTGTATATATGGTTTACATGTGGGGAAAAGTATTTTTTCTGATCGGTCATGGTCAATAAAATTTGCAAGCCACTGTTGGAGGATAAAGACCCCATTGAAAGTAATTTATGATCTAGCCTCAATTCAACCTTAACTATAAACCACAAACTCATTTCCACATCCTGTTCACATTCCTTTCTCAGGTTCCAACTTTCCTATCTCAACACCTGTCTTTTCTCCTCCCTCTGCAAAAAAGGAAACTGAATACATGTATGACTTTTCATTTTCACATACCCAGAACCTAGAACAGTGCCTGTCCAAATGCTCACTCAGTAAATGCTGTAGCATGAATCCATGCATACCAACAGGACTTTTAACACACACCACTCACATTAGCATCTATGTATCAGGTTGCACAATTTCGTGTGTGTGTGTGTGTGTGTGTGTGTGTTATCGGATGAGTCCAGTCCTTTGTACTTAGAACAATGAGGATCACAAAAGGACATGTAAATGTGGAAACTGTTTTTTTTTTCTTTTTTTCTTTTTTTTTTTTAGGCAAAGTCTCACTTTGTCACCCAGGCTGGACTGCAGTGGTGCAATCTCAGCTCACTACAACCTCTGCCTCCCGGTTCAAGCCATTCTCTGGCCTCAGCCTCCGGAGTAGCGGGGATTACAGGTGCCTGCCACTACACCTGGCTAATTTTTGTATTTTTAGTAGAGACGGGGTTTTATCATGTTGGCCAGGCTAGTCTCAAACTCCTGACTTCAGATGATCCACCAGCCTCAGCCTTCCAAAGTGCTGGGATTACAGGTGTGAGTCACCATGACCAGCCAGAAACTGCTTTATTTCATGTTCCACTTTCAGTTATGCCATGATGAAATAGGGTTTATTAGACATCCCATCCTACTGTGATTAACTATAAAATAAAAAAATACGTAAAGCAACTTTTTAGGCAATGTACAGATGGTAAACAAAAATGTCAGCTCTCTTTTAGGGGAAGTTCCTTGACTGCAGCTTAAAGAAGTAGAGACAAAGCATAGAACAAATATCTTTCTGGGTGGAGGAAACAAAGATTGGAATGTAAGGCTTCTGGAATTCTGAGGATAACATAATGGAGAAGAGGAATGTAGAACTTGTGGGGTAAGATAATGCAGAGGAGGAAGTTATGCTGAGGAAAATTTCTAGAATTAGCTTGGAGTCTCCTTGAGTCTTTGACCAAATGCAAAGGTACCCATACACAGGAGAATAGGAAGCTTACTGAATATACTGTGTGCTGTATATTGCTAGGGATCACTGGAATTTTAATCACACTAAGTGAAGAAACTTCATTGAACACTCAGAAGATTCAGGTAAAAACCCAGAGAGAAAAGGTTGTTTTTTTTTTTTTCTTTTCATTATAATGTACTTTAATCATAGTGTAAGGGCTAACACATTCTAAAATAAAATTTTAAAAATTCTAACTAATTAAAGCTAATTATCTAATAAATTAAGTTCCTGCCAGAAGAAAAAGCAATATTTAAAAGAAGACAAAATATTTTAGACTGTTAACCAGTGTAGCACCCGTAATGTCAGACATAAAATCAAGAAGAAAGAACATATGAATTGTAACCAGGGGGAAAACATGGTCAAAAGAAATGGACTCAGAGATGACATGGGTGTTAAAATTAGCAGAAAAGACAATAAATCCTATAAAAAATAATATAAATATTTTAAAGATGAAAATTAAGACATGAATGTAATATATGAACAGATGTGAAACTTAATAGTGCAATAGAAGCTATTTTTAAAAGATGGAAGATCTACATCTGAAAAATTTTTCATCTGAAATGTAAAATTCATTGAATGGAACTAACAGCATATTAGAGATTCAGAAGAAAAGATAAAGGAACTTGTAGCAAGACAACAGTAACTATCCAAACTAAAGCATAAAGAGTAGGCAGTCTAAAAATAATAAGTAGAACTTCAGTGACCTATGGAACAATAACAAATGGTCAAACGTGTAATTAAAAGCCCAGAAGAAGAAAAAGCAGACGTTGAAGCAGAAAAACATTTAAACACAAGTAGCCAAACATTTTCTAAATATGATGGAAAATATATTATTTAAAAACCCCAAACTTGACAAAATCCAATCTGGAAAAGCACACAATAAAACTAAAAATAGGCATATTGTCAAATGTCAATTTGTTAAATTGCATAAAAATAAACACCAGTTGAAAGATTAAGATTGCCAAAAAATGAAGAGGAAGACTTAAAAGTACACAAAGGAAAAAGACATATTGTGAGAGCAATGAGAAGAATGACTATTCATACCATAAGGAACAATGCAAGCCAGGAGATAATAGAGTAGCTTTAAAATACTGAAGAAGACAAAATTAAATCTTTATTTTTAGACCCAGAAAAATTATTCCTCAACAATGAAGGCAAAATAAAGACATTTCCAGATAACAAAGACTGAGGAAATTTTATACATGTATTGTAAAAATGGTAAACTTTCTAAGCTGAAGGGAAATGATACCAGATAGAAATTCAGATCAACATAAAAGAAAGAAAGAACATTGCAAATAGGCAATATATAGGTTAACATGAAAGAGGTATATCTTACATGGTGGCAGACAAGAGAGAAAGAGAGCCAAGCAAGAGGAGTTTCCCCTTATAAAACCACCAGATCTCCTGAAACTTATTCACTACCATGAGAACAGTATGGAGGAAACTGACCCCATGATTCAATAATCTCCCCGAGTCCCTCCCACAGTACATGTGAATTATGGGAGCTACAATTCAAGATGAGATTTGGGTGAAGACACAGCCAAACCATATCAATGATATAGCTAAAGGTGATGAAGAAAATTATGGGAAACTAAGCAAATACTCAAGCCAACAGAAAGCAGGAAAGGAAAAAAATGAAATAAAAAGAAGACACAAGGAAAAAATGAGACAATGATAAAATAGGTAAGAATATTGTAGATTAAACCTAACTA